GAGGAGACTATATTTAAAAGAAGAAAAACTACCACAACAAGAGGACATAGTCTTAATTAGAGGGACAAAGGTTAAAAATAATATCAGGAAGTATTACTTTACTGAGAGGGTAGTGAATGCATGGAATAGCCTTCCAGCTGAAGTGGTAGAGGTTAACACAGTAAAGGAGTTTAAGCATGCGTGGGATAGGCATAAGGCTATCCTAACTATAAGATAAGGCTAGGGACTAATGAAAGTATTTAGAAAATTGGGCAGACTAGATGGGCCAAATCGTTCTTATCTGCCGTCACACTCTATGTTTCTATGTTTCAATTGCCCGAATAGAGCCCGTTTGAAGTATATTAGCCAGTTCTATTGCAGTGGCCATAGTCACAGGGTAAAAGACTGACAAGTAGAGTTGAGCGGACACCTGGATGTTCAGGTCTGGCCGAACTTTGAAAAAAAAGTCCGGGTTCAGGCTCGAACTTGACCCCGAACCCGAACCCCATTGAAGTCAATGGGGACCCGAACTTTTGGGCACAAAAATGGCTCTAAAAAACTTCTGGAAAGGGCTAGAGGGCTGCAAAAGGAAGTAAAATGGGGGTAAGAGTAGGACATGTGCCCTGCAAACAAATGTGGATAGGGAAATAACTTAAAAATAACATAAAATAAGCAGTCGCTTAGTAGATAACTCCCTAATTCCCACGGTATTAGGGAGCTATCTACCAAAAGGCTGAAAGACCTAGATTGGTCACATAAATTGGTCCTTCAGCCACATTTATTAATACTAAGTAAAGATTACTTAGTATTAGTAAATTCAGCCCCTACTAGCTATATCGCGAGTAGGGGCGTGTCTAGTAAACAGTGAGCAGCCAGTGGCTGCGCACTGTAAAAAAAACAAAAACAATTGCCCCCACCCCTGTGTGACCTACTGTCCTACCCTCCAGCCCCCATCCCTGAGCGGTGTGTGGGGGCCCTAAATAACAGTAAGGGGGGACGACCTACTGTCCTCTCCCCCGGCACCCACCCCTGAGGGTGGGAGCCATAAATAAAAATTGTGGGGGGGACCTGCGCGGTGGGTGGGAGCCCTAAATAACAATAAGGGGGACGACCTAATGTCCTCCCCTTTTTCCCCACCCCTCAGAGGTGAGTGGGGCCATGAATAAAAATTGGGGGGACCTGCGCGGCGGGTGGGGGCCCTGAATAACAATAAGGGGGGACCAACTGTCCTCCCCCCGGCCCCCATCCCTGAGCAGTGGGTGGGGGCCATAAATAAAAATTGGGGAAACCTAATGTCCTCTCCCTTGCCCCCACCCGGGCACAGTGGGTGGGGACCCTAAATAACAATAAGGGGGACCTAATGTCCTCCCCACTGGCCCCCACCCCTGCGTGGCGGGTGGGAACCCTAAATAACAATAAGGGGGGGACCTACTGTCCTCCCCCCCGGCCCCCACCCCTGAGCAGTGGGTGGGGGCCATAAATAAAAATTCCCCCCAGGTGACTAGGGGTCCCCAAACCCCTAGTCACCTTCCTCCCCCAAAATAAATTACCCCTACCTACCCCCCATCCTAAAAATAATGAGGGGGCACACTTGTCTAAATACCTGTTAAAAAAAAAGTAGACTTACAATTTGATGTCTTCTTTCTTCTAAAACCTTCTTTTTTCAGCCCCCCAAATAAAAATCCAGAATAACCAACGCACTTTAAAAAATTTAAAAATAATCCTTCTTCGCCCATGGAGGGCTCCGCGCAGACTGAGTTCTGCAGGGCAGGGGAAGGCTTATAAAGCCTTGCCCCGCCCTGCAATTAGGCTCAGAGCACTCTAATTGGTGGGTTTAAGCCATCCAATCGGAGTGCTCTGACAGGTAAATGAAGAGACTGACAGGTAAATCTCTACATTTACCTGTCACAGCACTCTGATTGGTTGGCTTGAAATCCACCAATCAGAGTGCTCTGTGTCATTTTACACAGCGTGGGAAAGTTCTTTGGAATTTTCCCACGCTGTGTAATTTGACTCATAAGATTTGACTCATCAAGATTTTAGAAGAAAGAAAACATCAAATGGTAAGTTTTATTTTTTTTACAGGTACTTAGCTAATGGTCCCTCCTCATTATTTTTAGGGTGAGGGGGGTAGGTAGGGGTAATTTTTTTGGGGGGAGGGGGATGACTAGGGGTTTCGGGACCCCTTGTCACCTGGGGGGGATTTTTATTTATGGCCCCCACTCACCGCTCAGGGGTGAGTACTAGGGGGGACAGTAGGTCCCCCATATTGTTATTTATGGCCCCCACCCGCTGCGCAGGAGTGGGGACCAGGGGGAGGACATTAGGTCCCCCCTCCAATTTTTATTTATGGCCCCCACCCACCACTCAGGGGTGGGGGCCGGGAGGGAGGACATTAGGTCCACCCCAATTTTTATTTATGGCCCCCACCCGCCACTCAGGGGTGGGGGCCGGGGGGAGGACAGTAGGTCCCCCCTCCTTATTGTTATTTAGGGCCCTCACCCGCTGCGCAGTGGTGGGGGTCAGGGGGGAGGACCTAATTTTTATTTATGGACCCCACCCACGACTCAGGGGTGGGGGCCGAGGGAGGACATTAGGTCCCCCCCAATTTTTATTTATGGCCCCCACCCACGGCTCAGGGGTGGAGGACAATAGGCCGGACCGGGGGGAGAACAGTAGGTCCCCCCCTTATTGTTATTTAGGGCCCCCACCCAGCGCTCAGGGGTGTGGGCCGGGGGGGGCACTGGTGGGGGCTCGGGAGGGGGGATTTTTATTTTTTTTAACAGTGAGCAGGCTGCTCACTTTTTAATAGACATGCCACTACTCGCGGTATAGCGAGTAGGGACATAATTTACTAGTACTAAGTGACCAGCTTCTATAGAGGCTGGGTCACTTGCTGCACTGGACAATCACAGCCATGCCATTAGTAGGCATGGCTGTGGCGGCTTCTAAGGGCACACGAGTCAAACGCTTGTTGATTGGCTGCCCTGCAGCCTTTCAAAACGCATCATTAAATCGCCGAACACCGAACTCCAACCCGAACATACAGTGATATGTCCGTGTTCGGGTTCGGGGTTCAAAAAACGTAATGTTCGGTACGAACCCGAACTTTTCAGTTCTGGTTCGCTCAACTCTACTGGCAAGTAGTTCTCTCCAAAGCCCAGTGGCGAAGTGGCTTTAGTCACAAACTTTATTACCCTATGTTTTTCCTGTCTATTTAAATTACAGGAAGATTTTTGATTTACATGTGGTAATAATCTATTTTAATTTAATTATACTTTATATTATTTATTTTTGTACGATAAATGTTCTTTTTTTGTTACCTGGATTCCTGACCTCTCAGTTTCTGGATTCAAACATCAGCGAAATTGATAAGCAGAAGCCCCCCACTTCTTTTGTGGGAGGCACCCTTAAGGTGATTTAAAAATACACATTCTGTGAGTGCAATTCAATAAGCGTGCCACTTTATCAATTTGTGATAATATAACAATATGTTCTGTTAATATATTCTTTCCAGATTACACAGCTGTATCCCATTTCTCTTTCTACAGATATACTTGGCTTTTGTGGTAACCAACTGGGAAGGTTATCCTGGGAAGCTGTTGTTTATAAGTTACATTTATTTTTTATGTTATATTTACCAAGCATTTATTTTGGTATAAGGGGGGGGGGGAGGGGGAATTGTGTCTTTTTGTGTTGTATACATATAAATGTTGTAAACAGAATAAGGGCTGCACTTGACATAAGAGAACAGGGTGCTAACTGAGCTAGGGTCAGCACTCCCCACAGACATGTAATACAAAGAAACAAATGCTCAGACACTCCCTGTGTCAAGATTTAGGCAGAGTTTAGTGGAACATCAAAGTGCACAGCAATGTTTCAACCAGTACGTTCCGACCAAACTACACTTGGCTGGGTACAGGTCGTAACGTTGCTGTGCATTTTGATGTTCCATTTAAACTCTGCATGAATATTAACAAGTGAATGCCTGAGCACCTTTTTTTACTTTGTATACATGTAAATGGACCTGTGTCAGTAAGAAGAAGAATTCTTAAGGGTGCTTATAGTGGCCATAGGAAGGTATTATAATGGACTAACATGTGATCACAATTGAAATAAAACTAATACTGAAATGAGGAATGCAAATGAAGATTTGGTCAAAATGTAGCAGCTTTGTCTGGATGTATTACAGTGAGAGTTTCTGTATAGAAATTAGTTAATTATTTCAAATCAGTGACATTGTTATGTATCACCAAACAAATGTTGTTTGTTTTAAGTGGTCCTTGTGCTCCTTGCTACAATTATTGCACTGATTGCACAGCCCCACACTGTTTAGAAAATGGTAACTAGCTCATAGCTCCCAGGTAACAACATTTGATAACGTTCTGTTTTACTCTAATTGCCTCTTTAAAAAGTAGATTGCTACTGAAAATGAAATACATTGCCCTACAAAAGTAAGTCTCCTACAATGCATTAGGTGTAGATAGCTGCATACGATGAGCTAACATGGTGATTATGCCCGGACTCGATGAGAATATAGCAGTTTAGCTCTTATAAGAGCTAATGATTATAGCAATCCAAAAAACAATCCCAAGAGCAGGGATTATAGCTGGTATAGCTTTCCCCTACAAGCACTAGAAACTGGAACTTGTTCATTGGCAGACACAACTGCCCTTATATGCAGGTCCCCATGCAAGGGGCACTCCCCCCTGGACTTGAGAGTGGACTACAGTAAAAACATACACACAATTACATTGGCTCTCTGGTCCAGGACACTCCCAATAGATATGTTTGGTATCAATATGCTAGATTCAGATAAACTAAGAACTAAATAAACAGCTATCATGAGGCTCTTGCAATGTATTAGTCAGGTTGCTTCCCCAGGAGGCTCTCAAGGTTGTAGGATAAGTTGTAAATCAAAAGTACAAGAGCGGCTTAATATGCCAGATTAACATTACACGCAGGCTACACATTTCAGAATCTATGTGGATTAGGATGACTAAACAATAAACAATAGGCAGCTATGTGTAAGTAACTATGATATCTGTGTAACAGCTTTGTTTTTTGTTCCGGAAGGCTGGAATATCACTTAGGGGACTTGGGTACCTTGCTCGAGGGTATGTGGCACTGTCAACCAACACCTCGGCTTGGCAGATCCATATCTTCCCTGGGAGTTCTCTTGACCACCTTGTTGCATCTTTGTGGCAATGCGAGGTGTGTTTTGCGCCCGGTGTCTCGCTCGTTCTTGGCCTCCCTGGAAGGTAGCATCGCTGTGCCCGGGTTTGTAGTTTCTGGGTTGGGTATGAGTCTTTCTTCCTAGAGGGGCGACTGAGGATCTTGTCGGTTGTTCGTCTCCTGGGAGGTCTGTGTTTCCGCTGCTGTGTGGGGCATCTGTGGTGTGAAGCTTTGCCAGCTCCCTGCTTGGGTGGGCTTGGTGCTTGCGGCTGGGGTGATTTGCGGACGGGTCTGCTCGATGGGGCCCTGTACACCTCCTCACTTTTCACCTTCTGCTTCCCAGATTGTGGGCTGTGGATTAGTGCTTGGGCCCTCCGGGTACTTATTTCAGGAGGTGGGTGCCAATGCCCTGGGGCCCTGTCTGGGGGTAGTACCTGAGGTGCGGGCATCACAGGTGGTTTCCGCCATTCCTCCCAGCCTTTCCAGTACTGCTGGCACATGATGTCAAACTTTTGCCGGAATCTTGCTTCCCAGCTGCTGTGGTACAGGTTGGACTGTGTTGCTTTGTCGTCGACCATTGTAGAATAGGCCTCATGTGTGGCGTTGTCTCTGTTGCCATCTAGGTGCTTTGCCGAGGTGAATAGTCTCCTGGAGGGGGGCCGGGATAACCCCCGACTACCGAGAGGGGGGAAGTGTGGGGCACAGACTGATCGTTGGTCTGAGTTCCCAGGTCGCCCCCGACATAGAGACCGGCCGCATCTCCCGCCGGGTTGGCGCCAGGCCACAGAAGAGTGGAGGTCACATCTGCTGTAGTGCGCGGGTGGAGGGGTGATAATTTGCTCCAAGATTGTACCCGATGTGTGGGCGTGGATAAGGCATGTGGGTATTGTCAGTTTTGGGGTGTTTTACCCCCATTAGAGTTCCTTTTTCCCCGATATAAGGCAGGAGCTCCATCTGCCTGCGACCTGCCATGATGGCATCCAAGCCCCGCCCCCGGCCCATAGTCTTTTGACAGGAGACTGGCAAGCAACCCCTTACAAGAACACATGGCAGAGGCATTTCTGCAACACTAGTGATAATGATATCTGGGATTATTAGAAGGGGAAGTGGAGTATATCCAATTATTTAGAATGGCATGTGTACCAGAACTGAGACTTTAAAAAAAATCGGGGGCAAGGGATTTGAGAAATGCCAGGAATAAAAACAGTGAAGGGGGTTAATAACATATCTATTGAACATGTAACATTCAGGTTTTCCATAATTTAGCATATTATTCTTCTAATAAAATTTTTAAAATATGTATATAGTGTTTACAAAATTGTGAATTTATAATAAAAATACACATGACTTAATACTCTGTTACTATGTTGAACTAATGTACAGTTACGTATATAATGTACTATGATGTCTTCTCAAGCTTACCTAAGGCTATACTTTATATGCTTGATTTTAATTGGTTGTTTTTTACCAATCCATGTTGTTTGTTGTCATGTCCTATCAGACAGGTTTTGTAGGCTAACCTCAGGATACCTGTGATCCCTGACTGTCTTAAAACCTTTACTACCCACATTACTACAGATTAAAACATAAAAATCTGATTTTTTTAATGAAAAAGGTTGTGATCACAATAATTAGTTCAAACAATTATTACTTAATAAGTATTATACTTGAACATCATAATAATTAGGCATATTAAATGAATTGCCTTGTTGTTCTCAACTTCAGGCTTATAATAATTAATTACATTTATACAGGATATTCAATACATGTCATGTTTTCAATACAATGAGAATATAGATTAACTATGTGATATGATTTACTTTGTAAAGAGAAAGGTGCACAGTAAAACAAATATGTGTCAATGCATGATAGTAGCTAATTTATTGTTAGAAGAATTACGTTTTTGCCATGTTAATTTGTGATTGGGGACCTTCATGTCTTCACTATAATTAGATATATTGTATCTGATATATCTAAATATGTTTGAAATTATAACAAGGTAGATATTATGTATAAAAACTAACTGAATCTAATTCAATTATTTATATATTGTTTATAAAATACAATCTATATCTAACAATAATGCTTCCAAAACCATGTCAGAGATAGCTCAGATAGCACCTCAAATGTTTTTAAAACTATAGCCACAATATGTTCAGCGTTTTATGTTGTTAGGGATACTAGAATACAGGGAAGTCAAAATGAAGCCAAAGTCAATATCCAGAAAGAAACGCTCAGGAACACACTCTCGGATAACCACTAAGGGAAACCATGACAGGGCAATGAGGAAAAGGCAAAAGGAGTTTAAATAAGCCTCTCTCAGATCCAATTGGCTGTACCCGACCTTTGACCCCAGAACGTGCGTGCAAATCCTTTATGTGACATCACACGCACGCCAACGTCGTCAATGCTGATATTGATATAAGACACCAAGACTCAGATCCTGAGGGCAGATTTTTTATTCTGGTATGTGCTATCAATGGGGAATTATTTACTTTGATAAATGTTTATTTACCTAATACTAATCACCTGAGCCTTTTGAAATTTATTCTAAATTGTGCAGAAAGAGTGGCCAGGGGCACTCAGATAATTGCAGGAGACTTTAATTGTGTGCCTGATGCAGAGAAAGACAAATCAAATAATAAAAATTAAAATATAGATAAAAGAAGTCTCAAATATGCAAAATCATTCAATAAGTTGCTTTGTATGATATATGGCGTGTCAAAACCCGTATTTTTGGACAGAAGGTGCCTGTAGCAAGTGTGTTAAAAAATGATAAGCTTAGAGTCATGTCTACAAAGTTTAGGGAATAAGATCCATGAACTTGTGGCAATAATGGCAACTGATAGTGTAGATTTAGTCGCTGTTACTGAGACATGGTGCAATGAGAAAAATGACTGGGACATAGCAATACCAGGGTACTCTTTATATAGGAAAGATAGGGAAGGCAAGAAAGGGGGAGGGTGGCCTTGTATGTGAAGGATAGCATAAAATCTAGCCTAATAAAAGTTAGTGAGGCAAACATAGAGTCCGTTTGGGCTACGTTAGAATTTGGTAATCACACAGTAACTCGTGTAGGTGTGATTTATAGGCCCCCAGGACAAATTGAAGAGTTAGATAATCTACTAGTTGAGGAAATAGCTAAAATGACAATGAAGGGGAAGTTATCATCATGGGTGACTTTAATCTTCCTGATGTAAATTGGAAAACAAAATTAGCTACTTGTACCAGGAGCACACATATTCTAAACTCCCTACTGGGATTGTCTCTAAAACAAGTTGTTGAGGAGCCAACTCGTAAAGAGGCCATACTAGATTTAGTGTTAACAAATGGAGATTTGGTATCAGATGTTACTGTAGGTGAAAGTTTAAGATCCAGTGATCATCAGTCAGTGTGGTTTAATATAAGAACAGTGACTGAGTCACACCACACAAAAACAAAAGTTTTAGACTTTAGAAAAACAGACTTTTCTAAAATTAGAATATGGGTAGAGGAGTCATTATCAGACTGGAGCAATTTAAATGGAGTCCAAGAAAAATGGGATTATTTAAAAGTTGCACTATTGAAGGCAACAGAAAATTGCATTAGGCTTGTCAGTAAAAGCAAAAAATTCAAGAAACCACTGTGGTACTCCATGATGTGGCCAAAATAGTTAAAAACAAAAAGTTAGCATTTAGGAATTATAAAAAAACCCAGAGTGAGGAAGACAAAATGATCTATAAGATTAGGCAGAAAGAGGCTAAGCAAGTTATAAGAGCTTCCAAATCACACACAGAAGAGAAAATAGCACAGTCAGTAAAAAAGGGGGATAAAACATTTTTTAGATACATAAATGAGAAAAGAAAAGTAAAACAAGGATTAGTTAGATTAAAAACAAAAGAAGGAAGGTATGTAGAAGAGGATAAAGGTCAGGCTGACTGCCTCAATGAATATTTTTGTTCTGTATTTACAGAAGAAAATGAAGGAAAGGGACCTCAGTTGAGAAAAAGGATAAATGAGTCATTTATTACACGTGAGTTTACAGAGGAAGAGGTTCTATTTCAACTGTCAAAAGTAAAGACAAATAAGTCAATGGGACCTGATGGAATACACCCAAAGCTATTAAAGAGCTTAGTGGTGTACTAACAAAACCAGTAACAGATTTATTTAACCAATCATTGTTAACAGGTGTAGTCCCAGAAGATTGGAAGTTAGCGAATGTTGTACTTACATTTGAAAGGTAATAGGGAGAATTGGCTTTATAGGCCAGTAATGCACTTCACTAGTGGGAAAGTTATGGAAATCATGTTAAAGGATCGGATTGTTGAACGTCTAAAAACACATGGATTTCAAGATCAGAGACAACATGGGTTTTACTTCAGGGAGATCATGCCAAACAAATCTTATTAATTTATTTTATTGGGTAACTAAAATAATAGATCAGGGTGGTGCAGAAGACATTGCTTACCTAGATTTCAGTAAGGCTTTTGACACTGTTGCACATAGAGGCTTGTCAATAAACTGCAATCTTTAAGTTTGGATTCCAATATTGTTGAATGGGTAAGGCAGTGGCTGAGTGACAGGCAACAGAGGGTTGTAGTTAATGGAATATATATTCAAAGCTTGGACTTGTCACCAGTGGGGTACCTCAGGGATCTGTACTTGGACCCATTCTCTTTAATATTTTTATTAGTGATATTGCAGAAGTTCTTGATGGTAAGGTATGTCTTTTTGCTGATGATACTAAGATATGTAACAGGGTTGATGTTCAGGAGGGATAAGCCAAATGACAAATGATTTAGGTAAACTAGAAAAATGGTCAGAATTGTGGCAATTGACATTTAATGTGGATAAGTGCAAGATAATGCATCTTGGACGTAAAAACCCAAGGGCAGAGTACAGAATATTTGATAGAGTTCTAAC